TACTCCTATTTTCTTTCTAAACTGGTAAGGCAACCGTCCACCTCGTGCAAGTGTGGGCCACCCCTATTTCAAGCTGGTCCCATATGTCGTGCTGTTGCTGTCTTAGCTGTTGTCACTTGTCACTCCTGATTTATCAAACAATTTTTTCAAATTATACTGAGGGTAACTAAAAGGAAAATTAAACGTTGTTAACTACCTTGAATAAAAATCATTGACTTATTAAGCCCCACAATCTACAACATTAAAAGAGCAAACACCTTTACAACGTTGGGAAATAAATTATTCAATGGAGGATGTTATCAAAGATTACAATTTTATGAAAAGTTTTTGTGATTTAAGTGATTATTTATACTTTATTAAGGATCATTTCATTTTAATAAAAAAAATAAGGATTGAGTTTCATCTTCGTATTTAAAAAAATCAAAAAAAAAAAAGATTATGCTTTTATAATTTGTTTTTCATTTAAAAATATATAAAAAAATTTACTATGCTATATAGATTATATATTACTTAATAATTAATTATTTTATAATCTGTATAAAATGAATTGTAAAACAGTATTATAAAAAATTATTAAATACATTTTTTTGTATTTTTAATTTATTTAAAGTGGGGTAGATTGTAAAAAAATTTTCTTGATACTATTAAATATAATAACTTTTTGTTTATTTAAATTATAATTTTTTTAACAAAATAAAATCATCTTGGGATGGGGCGTTGGTAGAAACTTACAGATGCCAATTTTCTTTTTTAGAAAACTGATATATTCCTTTTCAAATGGGACCCTGCATATGCAAATGAGATTTTAATTTAAAAACCCTTTAATTATAATTAAATTTTGAGTAGAAAAAACTCATAAAATTAATTAATTAATTAGGTTCATCAATAATTTCCACCTTTCATGCTCTGCAAAAGAGGACATGCGTACACCTTGGCCTATACGGCCATCCATTGGTCTACCATTTTTCTCCTATGATATACATCATGCACTTTGTCTTGGTCTAGATAATTCCTGTATCGCATTTCATGTGCTTTGATTTAGTAATCACTTATTGTCTCAAAAGATAACTTGTGATTTACACTTTCAAATTTTAAGTTTAATATATTTTATTAACACATCTAACATACAATTTCTAATTATTGTCCTTATAAAAAAAATAATAATAATTCCTGTATCTGTTACTATCTTCGGCAAGAGAAATATATAAAGTACCATTTAAAAAAAAATATATTTTTTTTGATGTGCCAAGGTTCTAGAAGCTCAATATGAAAGGTTTTTTTTTTTTTTTCTAACACGAAAAACTTAAGGAAAAAGGAATATTTTTTAAATAATAAGTAAGAGTTGAACTCCTACCTACTTGATGTTAAGTTATTAGAGTTGGATGAAGAATCAATTAGCGGATGGACTGGTTCAAAAGATTTGGTGATTTTCCAAGTGGGAAAATTGGAGTTCTCACATTTAATTGTAACACTGATGTGAGTTGGGTCAGAAAATTATCTCCTTGCTTTTAAAGACTTATTATTATTATTATCCGGCATGCATACGTTCTCATTGAGAAATTATTTGATTCGAGAGAAATTACGTACAATTAAGTTATGATTTCGCTAAGTATTTTAATTAATTGAATATAATGTTTTTCTTCTCTTTTTTATTTTTTATTTTTTCTCAAATTAAAGTTTTATTTATTAGTATTTTGTTGTATTATGTTATGAATATAATTGTAGTTTTTATTTTTTTGGTTTTTTGCTAGTCAAAAAGTACATACAATATTAATTAAAATTAATGAAAGTATATAAAAATTAATTAAAAATTAATTAAGAATTATAAATTTGCAATTAAGATTTATGCAAAACATTATCAGCCCAATCATAAATAATTTTTTAAGTAAGGAGGTTTTTTTCTAGTCAAAAAGTACATACAATATTAATTAAAATTAATGAAAGTATATAAAAATTAATTAAAAATTAATTAAGAATTATAAATTTGTAATTAAGATTTATGCAAAACATTATCAGCCCAATCATAAATAATTTTTTAAGTAAGGAGTTGTTTTTCAACTCAAAACGTCTATTTTTTCAACTAGAATTAAAATCGCTTCTCTTCTTTTCTATTTACTCTGTACTCTAATAATAATAATTATTTTATTTTATTTTTAAATTAAATATTTTAGTGATAATTTATTTCTTATTTATATTATTTTAAAAATATTAAAAAATATTGTAATATTAAT